ATCACCCCAATTTAACCACAGCCCCTCCCTTGCACACTGTTCTTGTGCATAAGTCCAAGTTGGCCTGGTCCATAGCAACAGCCTCAGGTTATCAGGAAAATTTGCTTTGAAAAAAGCCAAAATATTACTGAATTTCCTTTCATTGGTGTTCTCTCTAGAGGATGTTTCTTGGGGTTATCTGATTCTAGGGAGATTTGTGTCTTTCTTCTTGCCTTTTTAAAAACCCATTTGCAACTCCATAGAGGTAGATGTTAACTTATGGAGATAATGCAAATAATTTCTGTTCATAGAAATTCAAATGAGTTTTGTACAGGGAAGAGGTAATTGATTTCTGCTTTGTGGAAGAGATCATTTTTGCCTCTGTTAGAAAATTAGTTTTAGCATCCCTGATGGTCCACACATGGGTCTGTACCTTACATTCTCCTTTGAACTTTGTTTTATGTCATATTGATTCTCTCCATAAATGATAAAAATGTTCATTTTATGTTTACATGGCAGAAATAATTTTACTTAAAGAAAACCCTTTGGGGCTGGGGTTGTGTGTGGCTCAGCGGTAGAGCTCTCGCCTCACATGTGCAAGGCCCTGGGTTTGATCTTCAGCACCACATACAAATAAATAAAATAAGTGTATTGTGTCCAACCACAACTAAAAAATAAATATTAAAAAAAGAAAATACTTTAATAAGATATTCTCCCAGCAGTCATTTGGGCCTCCTTCCTCTCTTGCCCCTACCCCCATTCAATCCATTAGCTTTGTGAATGTATTTTTTTTAAAAAAATTATTTTTATTTTTTAGTTTTCGGCAGACACAACATCTTTGTTTGTATGTGGTGCTGAGGGTCGAACCCGGGCCGCACGCATGCCAGGCAAGCGCGCTACCGCTTGAGCCACATCCCCAGCCCCTTGTGAATGTATTAAAACCACTAATTGTATGGAATGTAAATTATCCTCAATAAAGTTAATACTCATTTTTTTTTTTAAAAGGTAGTAGTTTCTAAACTTTTTTTTGTGGTTAAAATTCCTATGAGAGTTTGCTGAAAGATCTGTGGACTAACTTGCTCCTGTTCCCACAGACAGGTATAGGAAAAAATCCTTACATGCATGTGCATAAAAGTTTCACAACAAAAGAGATTCCCAATGAAGCTCATTCATCGATGCCCTAGAGATCTCTAATCCCTAGAAGATCTCTAATCCCTGACTTTATGAGATTGTCACTAGCACATATTAGGTCAAGTGCATGTCTAAAAGATTCTTTTCTTCCATGACTCATCTTGGCCAGTAGCCTTTTCGTGTTATCTTCTAGCCCCTCCCCCTCTACCTTCTCCAGCTGTTTTGACATCCTTTCTCCATCACTGTGATAGGCAGAGTTTAAGGATGACCTCTATGACCTTCACCCAGTGTCACTCCCATTTATGTGGCAAAGGGGAGCTTATCTGGAAAGGTCTAATCTAATCACAGTTCTTCAAAGCAGACAGTTTCTCTGGCTGGTGTTGGAAGAGTCTGATTCAAAGCCGGACAAGGACTCCATGTGTCCTTGCTGCCTTTGAAGATAGAAGGGGCCATGCAACGAGGAATTCAGTTGGCTTCTGTGAGCAGAAAGCAGTCCCTGGCTGACAGCCAGCCAGGAAGTGAGGACCTCAGACACACACAGCTGTAGGAACTGAATTATGTCAACAACCTGCATGAGCTTGAAAGTGGATGCTTCCCCCGAGCCTGCAGATGAGATCCCAGCCAGCCAACACCTCCATTCCAGCCTTTGAGACCCAGAGCAGGAATCTGGTATAGGCACCAAGGACTTCTGACCTACTACTGTGACATAATAAGTGGTGGTTGGTTCAGGACTCCACGTTTGTGGCGATTTGTTACTCAGACTACAAAACTAATACAATCAGTCAGTTTCACATTGCTGTGCAGCTGGCTGTCATTCTGCTGGATGTTTCTAGATCCAGCTCTTTTCCTCATAAAATTCCTAAGATGGCTACTACCCCTCTTCCCCCCATGAGGATGATGTCACACTCTGGATGCCTGGCTCTTCTTCCTGACTCCGTGGTCTACACTGAGAGCCTGCTCCCTCAAGTTTCAAAAGTTAAAGCTGAGGGATCCCTTGGCCATCATTGCACTGAGGAAGCAGAGGGGCAGCCTACACTTGGCTGGTGTCACATCTCTCAGTGGGCTCTTTTCTGCTAGGACTGGGAGCAGAAGAGCTCACTCAGGTGCCCAAGTGATCAACCCTGAGATGGTTTGAAATGAGAAGGGGAAAGTTCTAGAGCCCCTCCAGTTTACTAGAAGCCTTGTCCATAAGGTGTGGGGTCTAGGCCTAGATCCTGGGAGAAGGGCTTTGAGAGTAGAAATCACGTGACAGGGTCTGAATCTAAGGGCTAATAGCTAGTCTCACAGAGGCAGGGGCTCTTCAGCTACTCCAAGGAGAAGGGTTTTCCAAGGCTTTAATCCTGTCCTCATTAGCAGCTGTGTGTAAGACATGTCCTACGTGACAGACATGGGGATAACTGTCCACCTGGCTCTTTGTAGGGTTGGCTCTTCCTTCCTTTCTTCTCCTACTGTTTTCCCTCAGGAAAAGCTAACAGGTTTTGACGGGAAACTGGGTGCTCTAATACTGAGAGGGAGCCCCCGAAGGCTTTCCCTCTTCCTCCTTCCATTTATCCATAAAAGACCCAGAGCCCTCCTGCTTCCTGCCTTTGCTGATGAGAACCATTCATTTCTGGAACCAATCAGTTATTTCTGCTCTAATGAGCTAATGTCTTTTCTGGTTGGGAAAAATCCAATCAGGCCCTTACCCTCATTTTCTTCTTGGAATGCAATCTCCTGTATCTGGGAGTCTGAACGTTGTTTGAGCAGGCTTGGGGCTTCTTTATGTGAGTGTAGGGCCCAGGGTAGCCATGCTGAGAGACTGAGAAGGAGCAGGGAGTGGGGAGTTGAAGAAGGAGAAGAAGCCCTTACTCTCAATGGGAAGCCCTCTCACTCAGGTCCCTGAGAATCTCTGCATATTTCTGAACGTGTTGTTTCCTTATCCATAGGCTTGGGTATGAGTTTGTGGATTTGTGGCTTTCCTGTACTTAAGAAATCTGCCTAGATCCACAGAATTTCTTCTGTCTCAGGGCTGGGCTCCTTTACAAATAAGCAAACCTGAAAAATGCAATGATTTCAGAATGAGTAAGATGCCTGTGTGTAAATGTATGTGTGTTAAGATGAACTTGTGTGTGATCCCAGGAACTCCAAGCATGACCCTTCTTGAGTCCCCACTTCAGCTGATCGGGAAACATGACGCTGCGAGGTGGTGGTGGAGCTGGAGGAGGGGGCACAGAGGAAGGCAGGAGGATGAGGGCCTCTGCTTTTGGCACAGGGCCTCTGGGTGGAGCCTCAGGCCTGGCCCCTCCAGGAAGCATGTTCAGTTCTAACATGCTGGGCTTCTCAAACACCACTTCACAGAGACAACAGAAGGTTGGGGGACGGGGGAGAAGTTGGAGGAACTGTCTGTGCTTCTGTGTCTCCCACCTCCCAGGACCCAGCCCTGGGGCCTAGCAGTCAGGGGAAGTTATTATAGAGGCACATTCTTCTCCACAAGACCTTTTTTGGGAGGGCCCTGATTCCTTATTGCCCTTTGATCACCATCCTGGAACTCACCCATTCTGGGGTTGGAAGATGACCTCTGCTCTCTAACCTGTTCTAGGGAGAGTTCTGTTTGGATGGGGCTAGCTCCCCTGTGGCCTCCCAGAGTCCAACCCCTGCTGTAAAGGAGAGCCTCCATTTCCTCCACTATAAAATGGAGATACTGGTAGTGTGGAGGCTTGTGATGTGTCAGCTCACCCAGGCTGAGTTACCCAGAATTCTTATTCTTGGGTGTTTCCTATGAAGGTGGGTCATGGAGAGCTTCCTGTGGGAGGGTCAAAGGGAAGTGGCGCCATGTTGTAGCTCACACGTCTTGTCGCTACTGTGCCAGCTTGCCTGGATGTTGTGAGTTGGTGGCCAGTCTGCCACTGCTGCATCTTCTTGATGGTTCCTCTTTCAGCCCCTTAGTCAGATATGTGTGTTTAGCTCTCTGATGAATGACCCTGGCTTCTGCAGAACATCCATACCATCCAGTTCAGAAACAACAAGAACTGACATGGGTTTCTGACTGTCTTAAGGGATTCTGGCTTGTGTGTATGGATTCTGACTTATTCTCCATCTCCCCCCACTCTACCTCCATGTTTGTATCCCAACGACCTCCCTTGTGAACTTCAAGCACCAGTATCAGATGTGAAGATAGCAGCCCCTTATAGACACTTCTTGACCAGCGCCCGTAACTGCCCAAAGTCAAGTCCCTGTAACAATGCCTGTTTGTGTACACCATGAGATATACTTATCCCATGCTTATATGACATCTCTATCTATATACAGGCTGAATGTCCCTAACTGAAAATGTGAAATCTAAAATGCTCCCAAATCCAGCACTTATTGAAGCTGACATAAGTGGAAAATTATACACCTGTCCTCATGTGATGGGGGTCACACAAAATTATTTAAAATATTACATAAAATTATCTTCAGCCTGTGTGTACAAAGTGCATGTAAAATATAAATGAATTTCATGTTTAGAGTTGGATCCCATGCCTAAGACATCTCATTATGTATATGACACTATTACAAAATCTGAAAAACTCTGGAATTTGAAACACTTCTGGGCCTATGCATTTTCAACACCAATTTCTTTCTTTTGTTTTTTAATTTTTGAGGTGGTCGAGGATATAAGGGTCCCCTGTTCTCATCCTGCTATCTGCAACCCACCTGAACTCTTATATGTGTAAATTCCAAAGCCCAGGAGCCACCAGACCCAAGACATGGTTTCTAGCTCCCCAGCAACTTAAGTGACTAGCTTGAGAGGAAGCGCTTGTGGGGTCCTCCCCTCCCTCTTTTCCTATGAACAAACTGCCAAAAGAGAGAGAACTTCAGAACAAACTTGTAACAACATTTAATATTTTCAGGACTTGGATGGACTGAGACCCTGGGGGAAAATGGCAAGGTGTTCACAAACAGAAAGTCACAAGGGTCCTCAGAAGACGATGTGGGCTGGCTGGACTGCAAGCTCAGCAGGAACTTGCTTTTTCACAATATCTGTCTCAGAACATGCTGGAACAATGCTGCCCCCTTACACCCGGATTTGCTGCTGTTCCTTCCTCTTCACCTCTGCCCAGATGTCCGACAGGTCTTGGATAAACTGTTGGATCTGACACAGTAAGGGCATCAGTGATTAACCCCACCCAACCAGAGTCCTCCCCCATCCCAAGACAGTACATATCTTCTTGAAGTACATCATTTTCCCAAGGCAATCATGATACCTCATTTGTCAGTTTTTCTAGGTGAACCTGAACATGAGGTTTAGTGGATTAGAAGCCATATGTAGGAAAGGAGCTGGGGGGACCTCCTAGGGACAGGCAATAGTGATGGCATGAAGAACAGACTGGTAGTCTAACAGAAGGGGGGAGAAAAAGACAGGTTCACAAACGGGCTACAGAATAAAAGCATTTAGCTGGAAGGGCCTGGTTAGTGCCAGGGCAGATGTTCTCCACAACTTCAGAGTCCTTGAGGCCTTGGAACCCAAACCTGATGCTCATTATGATCATCTTGAGTCATCAAGAAAAGTTCAAGCTCTATTCACTAACTTCTGTTTGAAAGTGTTTGTAGTCACCTTGATACAGTGCTGCTTCTGAGGTCAGAAGACCCAGCTCCTGATGCGGCAGCTCTGGGGAAATCACTTCATCTTTCTGGAACTCAGTTTCTTTGTCTTTAAAAAGGCAAGAGGGAGCTGGGCAAGATGGTGCATACCCTAGCAGCTTCAGGAGGCTGAGGCAGGAGTATCCAGGTTCAAGCCAGCCCCAGCAATTTAACCAGGCCCCAAGCAACTTAGCGAAACTCTGTCTCAGAAAATAAAAGGGCTGGGGATATGGCTCAGTGGTTAAGTGCCCTTGGGATCAATCTCTGGTACAAAAAAAAAGAAAAGAAAGAAGGAGAAAAATTTGGATGGCCTCTAGGATCTCAGTTTTAAAACAATGACACTACACAGACTTTATCCAAAGCTCCAAACCCCTGTTAGCCACTGATATTTCTATTATTGATAGAATTCCTATTTTTCAATGAGGAAATAAAGAGCCAATGAATTAAAGCAATTTCCCAAAGAAATGCAGCATTTGTCTTGGAACCCAGGGGCACTTTACCACTGAACTACATTCCCAGCCCTTTTTCTTTTTTATTTTGAGATAGGGTTTGCTAAATTGCTTAGGGCCTCACTAAGTTGTTGAGGCCAACCTTGAACTTCTGATCCTCCTGCCTCAGCCTCCAGAGTCACTGGGATTAGAGGCATGTGCCACCATGCATGGCCAAATTCAGTATTTCTTAAACTATGTTCTTGTAATAAGTGGTCACATACTCCAAAAAGGGTGGCTAAGTCAGTTTTAGAAACATCATTTGTTTGAGAATCTCAAAGCAAGGAACATTAGCAAAGAAATCAACTTTGTTTAAAAACTTAGTGTTTCTAGATGTATTAGTCCATGGGGCCCTTTTATTCCCTCATGGGAAACAATATCTCTAAGATTCTAGGATTTGCCAAGCACAGTTTGGAAAATTGCTGCTCCATGTAGTTCAGTCTCATTCAAGGAAAATTCTAGACCTTTCATAACACAATATATTGAATGTAGATCATCCTGGCCTTTTCCTAATTGTAGTGTGTACCACAATCTTCGCTCTGTGTAAGCAACTGTCTTACCAAGCCTGTGCCCAAGTCTGTTGTCAGAATGTTGTTGAAAACATTAGTCACTGAGTGTCTCTGAAGTTTCATTGAGAAATTTCAGTTAGAACTCTGCATGCAACCTCATGTTTTCTTCTTTTGGCACAAGAACTACGTGTTGTTTTTCATCTGGTTACTAGGAAGCTCAGAGTCAACTATTGTCCCTATTGAAGGTCCTTGAATCCAAGAATTCACTAGATTCTGTTTTTCTCTTTCTATATTTAACTTCTGATTTTAACTTACATTTTCCCGGGTGCTTTTTTTTTTTTTTCTTTTTAATTTCCCAGGCTACTTGGTCATGTGATATCTCTGTCAACAGGAGTATAACCTATACACATGGAATATTTTAAAATAACCTTTGGGCAATACTCCTCTTAAAATAAATCAAGGTTGAGATTTCCTAGATCAAAATTGAGAAAATCAAAATAGAAAATCAACTATCCAGTAAGGAGTTTTGCCAATGTCCAATAATGCCATTCTTCTCACAAAATACCTAAAAATTTTTTTAAAAATAAAAAATGCTGTTTCTGTTAGCATGCCTTTTATCATTATTCTCATTATTCTTTTATCATTATTCTCACACAAATATTTTGACATTTTTGTTTCAATTTCTAATTTGGTAAATATCGATAGATACAACCCATAGAAAGGAAAGCTATCTTGGGGGTTGGTATTTTCAGAGTGTAAAGATATCTTGATACCAAAAAATCTGAATATTGCTGTTTCTAGAACAAACTTCCTTGCAAATACACTTCTTTGAACGGTAAAATAACTCTATTGTAATATGCCTTAAAACACAGGCTGAGTATTGTCTTGGGAAAATCCTTGTTAGCTGATCAGTGGGGAAATCTTTCATATATAGATATAGATGTATATTTCAAAAGTTTTACCTTTTTTTTAAAAAAATAAAATGCCTCTCAGTCAGTTGATTTTATAGCTTGTATTTCACATTCATTTACCAAGTAGGTATTGAGTGCCTACTATGTGCCAGGCATTGTTGAAGGCACTGGTGGATACAGCAGGAAACAACCACAAATCTCAGTCCTCAAGTGATTTGTAGTATATGTCACAGCAGAGCTAAGGGCTTTTGCCAAAGGAACACACAGTGGCTTAGTCCTGGTTCTCTGCATGCCAGAAGAAGCATCACTGATACATCTGCTTGTACAGAATTTCCCCCAAAGCCGGATATGTGTAATTCTGGTTGTGATTTTAAGTGGCACAGGAACATGAATGGCATTAAAAAAATCTTTTGAGGGACTGGGGATATAGCTCAGTTGGTGGAGTACTTGCCTGGCATGCACAAGGCCCTGAGGTTCAATCCCCCATACCATGAAAAAAAAACAAAACAAAAAAAACTTTTGAGTCATACAATAAAAAAAAATCTATCTCCTTTTCAATTTTCTTTCTATTGCTTCTAAGAACACCTCAGACAGATAGTAAAGTGACTTGAATACTTCTCTAAACTTGCCAGTTTCCCTTTTTAACAGAGTGGGGTTCAAACATTGGCCTTTACCAAGCCATGGTCTCTCACTAGAATTTAATAAGGCAGTCACATGACTAATGAATCAATAGTAGATCCCTGCTCTGGCCACGTGCTTTGAGGCCAAAAAGGGTCTTAGTATGAACGTAGTGGTTCTCAAAGTATGGCACCAGGAGCAGCAGCATCACTTGGGAAATTGGGTTCTTATCTCAGACCTATGGAGTTAGAGATTGTGGGGCAGGGCCCAAGGATACCCCTCTCCCTGCCCGCTCCCCACCAGGTGATTCTGATGCTGTTGACATCTGAGAGCCAATCCTGTGCCTGGTTCATTCCTCCACTCAACCATTCACTTGAGAAGCCCCTTGGCCCACATCCAGCTGACCCCAGTGCCTGCATCTTCCTCCTACCATGTCCAGCTGTTTGTGCGTGTCCTCCAGGGACACTTGGGCTGTCTCCTTTAGCTGCTTGCTCACGATCTGGAACAGGTTCAGCGTTGCCATCTTAATGGTACCAAGCAAGAGAGTCTTCTTGGCTGCCGTATTCTGGATGTGTGCCCAGCGAGATTCCTGGGGAGGGGACCAGGATGGGATGTGAGCACAGGACTCGCATCTATGTGTCATGTGTGTGTGTGTGTGTGTGTGTGTGTGTGTGGTGTGTATGGGGGGGGGTGCACATGCGCAAGCCTCACCTACGCAAAGCCCTGGAGCCCCCTACCTTGCCCAGCACAGCTGAGGTGCCTCACCCAGATGATGACATCGCTGCGGGCACGGTCAAAGCGCATCTGCAGCCGCGCCAGCTCATTGTTGTGCTGGAGAATCTCGTCGTCCTTTTCCTCCATGTAGCGAGCCAGTCGCGCCTTGGCTCGCTCTATCTGCTCCTGGCTCTCCTGCGCTGACTGCATGAGATCATGATGCATGCTCACCAACGTCTTGTAGCGTCCGATCACCTCGTGGATCTCCTCAAACTGAGGCCAGGGTTTGGGTCACTGCACTGCCCGGGGGCAGATGCAGCCATGGCAGCTCTGCCAAACCCCAACCTGAACACCTGAACTCATGGACACCAGGGTAGGCTGGCCTGGCCAAGGCAGGAGATGTGCAGATGTTACTGTCCTACCTCCTGATTCTCCTGGGTTTATATGGGCCATGATCCATATATTGCCAGGAAGCACAAATGGGTTGGGGTTCTCAATCTTAGATCTATGTTAGAATCATCTAGGGAGCTTTGAAAAGGACACCTGTCAAGTTCTACTTCCAGAGATGGTCCCTATCATTTGAATGTTGCAAAAGATCTCACAGGTGATTCTAGACACAGAGTTGAGAGTTGCGCATAGAAGATATTTTGAGATATTTCCCAAGGCAATGATTATCCTATTTAACAAGAATGTACCAAGATCCACTTATACGCCAGGAGCTGTGCTCAATGCTAGAGACATAGCAGGAGATAAGAAAGCCAGTCCCTGTTTTTTCTGAGGCTTAAAGCTTCAGGGTTAGAGGGAGGACAGACAGTAAACAGTCAGTTACAACACAGAGTGATAAGCCCTAGCTAGGACTGGGCGTGGGGCTGTGCAGAGCCTGGGGCAATAACATCAAGCTTGGTGCTTCCTGGTATTCCTTCAACAAATTTGGTGTGCGAGAAGTAGTAGAGTGGAAGTCCAGTGGAGAAGGTGGTCTACCAAGCCCAGCTTGTTTCCTGCAGGGTGGCTATACTGCTCCAGCTCTAACCTTCAAACTTCCATCCAGTTGAACAAAAGCCATGCAAAGCACCCTTTTAGAAGTCAAAGTGAGCCCCAGTTCTGGGATGCTAATTCACCCCCCTTCCCCCAGGCTTATCAATGTGTGCCTTCCAGCTACCCAGAGGACACTCCCCAGCACTTTCTCCATATCATGACATTTCCAGTGATAGACTGGAGTCTTGGGAACTGCCCTGCTGGCCTTTTCTCAAATATGCCCCTTTGGGGAAGAATCACCCAGCGTTGGAAAGAGTGGGAACAGCCAGAAAAGGGTTCCTGGGAGGAAAAAATGGCTCAAATGAGACTGGAAGTACTAATAAAAGATAGCTAGGTAAAAGCAAGGGGTGTGTGTGGGGGGAGATGAAGCATAGTTACAGGTAGAGGGTAAAGACGAATGGTTTGTGTTTGTCATGTTTAGGATGCTCCATGTAGTTTAATATGAATGACCTGAGCTCCAGGTGGGGGGAGAGACAGATGAACCTGGAAAAGTTTCAAATAACAAAGAAATGCCTAATAAACCCCAGGGAAGAAATGTGAACTTTGTCATTGAAGGATCTTTAAGAAGCAAAAAGAACTTCATCTTCTGCATTTCCCAAAGTTTACTCAGCACACCATAAAACAGCTTTCAGCAGTTAAAATGAACAGACTACATCGGATCTCCTAGGAAGGGCTCACAAATTCTTATTTTGACGTCAAAAGGACTCAGGCGCCAACTTAAAGAGGCTCCCACAGTCCCAAGAGGGACAGTTTGAACATCAGGAAGAATAAGAGCAAAGGATTGAAACATACTCATATTTTAAAAATCGTTAAGTTCAGAACGATACTAAAAACATTACAGGTTATTTTTGGAGAATGCTGGAAAACCAATTCATTATTCTAAACCACTGTAAAGAGTCAAGTATTTAACAAGCTTTTTCTTTAAGATCCACACAGTAATCAAGTAGTTGACCAAGGAAAGATTTTCTTTATGAAATCCTTCATAAAGGTGCTATTCCAGGTAATAAATGAAGAAGAGGTATTAAAATAATTTTGCCCCTCTTGGATAGTGTCTGTATCCCACAACTAAGGAAACCAGTATTTTGATCAATTAAGACTAATTTTACCTGTATTAAAACATATCAGTGAAAAGAAACAGAATACCCTCTTTTGTGTCTGACTTCTTCTGCTCAACACAATGTCTACAACACTTAAGAAACATACACAGCGTGGGGAAACTAGTTGGGACTGGTTTGGACAAACTACAGAAAATATTACTGCAATAAGTGGGGAATGATAACATTGGTTAGATGAATATTTGATATTAAGGAATAATTATCAAATATTTACAAGGTGTGACAATGGTATTGTGGTGCATCTGTATGTTAAAAAGAGCCTTCATCTTTCAGATCCATACTGAAATACTTATGGATGAAAAAATATCATTTGCTTCAAAATGGTGAGGGTGGGAAGGTGAGGGGGATGTGTCTACAGTAATTGCTGGAATGAGGTGATGAGTAACAGGCATTCCATCGACTGTTCTTTCTCCTTTGTATGTGCTTGAAATTTTCCATAATAAAATTGTTCTTAAAAAATATAATTGATTGAAAGAATAATTTCTAATGTTCTATAGCATAGCAGACAATTATGATTGACAGTAATTGTGTATTTCAAAATAGCTAGTTGAGAGGCATTGTTTTGCAGTGATGGGGATCAAATCCATGGCTTCCTGCATGGTAGGCAAGTACTCTACCAACTTTTTTCTTTTTGGCACTGGGGATTAAACCCACATTTGAAGCCCTCTACCCACTTAGCTACACCCTCAGACTCATTATGGAGGATTTTGAATATTTATAATACAAAGAAATGACCAATGTTTGATGTGATGAATTATGAATGTCATAATGATCATTATGAATGTCACACTATACTCCATTAATATATACGATTATTATGTGCCAATTAAAAATAAGAAAATATTAAAACTCTGCTTGAAAATAGCAAGTAACAAAAGTCCCCAAGATACGCACAATACACTCCTCCAGTTTTATGGACGGGTGATATGTTACGAAATAGTAAAAACAGGCATGAAAATGAGAAATGTAAACATCAGGATACTGGTTACCCTTGAGGAGATTTGGAAGAAAACAAAAGCTGTTTTAATTATGAGTAGTGTTTTTATTTAAGGAAAAAGAATCGGGAACCCATAGAAACTATGAAGATTGAACAACACTGTGTGCTGAGTGCTGGGGCTCTCTATACTTCCCAGAATGCTTAAAATATTCTGAACAAAACAAAGGAAGGGAGAGAGATGAGATTGGCAGTAGAATGCCAAACAGGATGGCCAGAAGTGACACAGAGGTGAACTCCAGACAGGCAGCCTGGATGAGGAAGGGGCAGGGGCTGAATTCCAGAAATGCTTAGGAGGCAGAACTGACCAGATCAGCTGATTGATGGCTGAAAAAGGGAGGAGTCAAGGGCCAGACCTGGGTCCAGCTGCCAACGCAGCAGCAGTAGGGCCTGGGGATGACAGGAAGAGTGAGTTGTGGACAGGAAGAGTGAGTTAGGTACAGGGGGCTGATCTAGCCAGTTTGCTCCGTTCTAAGACGGCCATTTTACCAGTCTGATTTGGAGAAGTAATTGACAATTTACCTGTTGTTTTAATATGGTATTCTTTCCTTACTACCCCCACCCCACCCCCAGAAAACCCTCAATTGTGAAGTCAGCATTTTATCTTACACTAGATAATAGAATAGAGGAAATAAGACAGACTTGGGACTCACACATAAATAAATTAGGTTAGTGTTTCTAACCTAATTTATTATTGCAAGAACTTTAAAAAGCTGTGTGTCTTTTTTCTCGTAGGCCCTTTACAGAAATTCATCCACACCCATTGAGAGGGTTCCTGGCTGCACCCTGTTGCTGGATCCATGGGGGGAGGGGGCAATCATTGATGGGGGGTATTGCTGGGAAGCTGCAGGGATTTCTCAAGAAGAAAAGTGAGGCTGGACATGATGATTCATGCCTATAATCCCAGTGGCTCTGGAGGCTGAGAAAGGAGGATTGCAAATCCAAAGCCAGCCTCAGCAACCTAGTGAGGCAATAAGCAACTCAGTGAGACCCTGTCTCTAAATAAAATATAAAAAAAGGGCTGGGGATGTGGCTCAGTGGTAAAGCATCCTTGGGTTCAATCCCTGGTAATAGAAGGAGAAGGAGGGAGGGGGGGAGGTAGAGGGGAAGGGGGAGTGGGAGAAGAAGGAGGAGAAGAAGAAGGGCTTCTGAGATGGACACCCTGGAACATTTTCCTTCTATCTTCCTTTCTAGAAAGAGGACCTCTCAGAGGAGCCTGAGGCAAGGGGGCCAGAGGTAGAAGAAAGGGAATGTTACAGAGTCAAGGGAAAATCTGTTTCACAGAAGAGGAATAACAGTGTCAAATGCTCCAAGGGTTACAGTGGGACAAGGGCTAAGAAGATCCCTGACCTCTGGCCACAGGGACTGCTGGAGAGCGGTTGCTTAAGGCATTGTGGGGCCCATTTACAAGCCATGAGGCACTAAGTAGTTTACTCAACCTCTCTGAGCCTACATTTTCTGTGAAAGGGTGAACAGCTTGCTTTCCCCTCAGGGCTATGACTGACCTAAGGCCACGCTTGCAGAGCATCAAACCAGCAGTGTCCTACACAGGTTGGATGCTTTTCTAGTTTCTCTCCCTTCCTTTCCCCACTTTCCTCCCAAGTAAACAAAAGACACTGGGGAGGAGGCGGAAGTAGGGATAGATGCTTGCCACGTGTTGATGAGGGCAAAACTTAGTGCTCCAAAAGCCTGTCCTCCCAACACAAATACACATACACACCTACTTTCAGACAGCCACAGCCGCAGCCACAGATGTAGGCATAAACATGCAACCGACCCAGAGACATTGACATGACTGTCAGGCACATGAACACACAAACCACCTGGCTCCCACCCTTTGAGAAACACATCCAGCCTCAGCAGGGGGCTTTGCCAGCTGCCCTTAAGGGCTGTTGCATCTTCTCAGACCAGGCTGACCATCCCTGCAGAGCCGCTGGGGCCCCAGAGGCTCCCTAAGCCTCAGCCTACTGCAGCTGAACTCCACCCTGTAACCCAGCATCCCAGAGAAGGAGAGGGGTGCTGAGGTGGGCCTGCCCCCCTGTCCCTGGGACCCACCTCGGAGTTCTCCACCACCTTTTCCAGGTACTTGTTGAAGATGGAGTAGTTCTGCAGCTTGACACTCAGCCGCTGGTGCTCTAGCCGCAAGGCCGCCATCTCCTGCTTGGCCTTAGCCAGTTCCCGTAGGCGCTGCCTTTTGAGTTCCCGCTCCTTGTTGGCTTTCTTCAGGGCCCGGATCCGTTTCTGGTCATTTTCCTGGGACAAGGGAGCCAGGGTAGGTTAGGCAGGCTTGTCCTCTCCTCCCTGGGACCCCCCCAGCCTGCCTGGGCTGCCCTCAGCCCTGCTTTGTCTGGGTCACCATGTGGGAGAGCAGGTGCCAAGGAAAAGGATTTCTGGGGTTATCTGAAGCGAGTTTTTGGTTATTTGATGCTAGTGATTGAAGCTCAGAGATTCCTGTGGATCAAGGTAAGGCTCAGAGGACAGCAGCTTAGTTCAGAGTCAAGAGGTGACCTTGGGGGGAGCAGACGGGAAACTATTCTGCTTCTGTGGGCTCTGGATTTCAAAGAGTGGATGGCAGAATCCAGGAGAAACCAGGGTTCAGGAAACAACCAAATTACATCGGGGCTCAGTGTCTGGAGAAAACCCAACCCTGAGAGAGGCTGAGAAAATCCAGAAGTGGGAGCAGGAACCCTTCTGACAAAGCTTCTATTGTTTCTGTTTCTAATGGTGATCATTTATCCTGGGGCAGATGGCTGGGTCAGGGTTGGGAGGCCCAAATTTTCTCATGATTTGGTCCTCGGTGCCTCAATTTCTCCAACTGTAGAAATGCAAAACAGTAAGCCCCCTCTTCCTTGCAAAAGCTGGGGGCCACATTGATCAAACTATATGAAGATGAGATAGGAACTGTGTGCTTAGTCCAGAGGGCCCAGTAAGATAAGGACATTCCAGAAAGTGTGTCTAGGAGCTCAGCCTGGCATTGCTTCCAGGAGATAGTCAGGACATTCCAAGCCCAGAAAGAAAGAATGAGGCTCAGTTACATTAAGCAGTCTAAACCCTGCCTTTTTCCTTCTGTAAAGCCCTCTCACAAGATTAGGGTGAAGCCCACCCTATGCACTGTACTTGTGTGGCTCCTTTCTCTTCTTGGGAGCTCCTGAGATTGCACATGGATGGGCATGTGTGGTGGTGGCATTTGGAGAACATGGAGGAAGATGTGTGGAGAATTTGTGCTCTCCCCCTAGCACAGGAAGAGGCACGAGCAGCTCTAAATGAGTGGCTCTCAAATATACCTATGCAACAAAATCACTTGGGAGCTTTTTAAAAACTATAGATACCTGGGCCCAACCTCAGACCTGCTGCAAGCAAAGAGTTCTGTGTTTGTAGCAAGCTCTATGGGATTCCCAAACTGAGGACTTTCCTAAAGTCATTTGGAGAACCCCTCACTCCCAAATCTCCCGCCACCCCAACCACTCCATCAGCTTTTCTCTGGCAGGTAAAATGAACAAGACCCCAGGGGAATGTGCCCAGCCCACTGACTTCTGGTTAGACATAGAGTGTGGCTTAAGAGCAGGGCTCCTCTGAGGCAGATATAGCAATTGGACCCCCTGCAGCTAGACAAGGACCTTCAAGAATCCATAAGTGCTGGCAGATCTGGATAAATCTGGATTTTAAGATGATTAAATAACCCCTCTAAAGACAAAGAGAGGGGGATTGTCTTGGAATGGTCTCTGTGGCATGGTCCTCTAACAGTCCCTCACTTGTACCTTTGGTATAAGGACAAAGATGAAAAAGAATGGTGAGTGAGGAGACTAAAACCTTTGCCCATCCATTACTGTATCCCCAAGTGCTTATCCCTGGTAGGGTCACATCCATCCACCTACCCATTCAACCGTTCATTCACTGGATAAACTATACATCCCAGGAACTGGTAAGAAAATAGGAAACAGCCATCTAAAGGGGTCAGAGACTGACAGGTAAATAGGAAATTAGAAACAACACCACAGGTGGAGACTTCAGGATGCCTGGGAAGCACCAGGCATTGTTAACAGCACTGAAGATGCTTTTAACCCTGAGTGACCCTCAAAAGCAAGAAGAACAATTTGCCCCTTCATACCTGGATGAACTGCTCAAATTTCTGGATGTGGGCCTTCAGCTGTTCTTCCTTGACTTCCAATTCCTCCCAGCGCAGGTTGAGGGTTTCCATTCTGCGCTTAAATGTCTTTGGGAGTGTAGGAGCAGAGAGAGGTCAGAAGGATGGCAGCTTCCTCTGCTCCAGAGTCTCTATCCCCCAGACCCAGGAGGGTTCATAGATGGCCTCCCACTTTGCACCCTGTTCCTGGCTCAAATGAGAGCATTCCAGGACACTGCTCACTCCAAGACTTAGATCTTTTCTATTCTCCCCAGAGAAAAAGACCAAAACCACTAGCCAGGACCCTCAATTTTAGCCACCTCCTCCCCACACTTCCAAAATGGAGGGATGTCTACCTGCTCTCCCTGAGCCCCAGATGGCTCCCTCTCCTGTCCTGTATCCCCGTCCCCATCCCCAACCCCCCCACACCCTTACCTCCTTCTTCTGTTCCATAGCATGATGCATGATCTTGGCTTCCTTTTTCTTTTCCAATAGCTGGACGGATGGGGAATCTGACTGTTCTTGCATATTGGGGAACTTCCTGCCCAAGACATGGGCAAGAGAGACAGGTGCATTCTGAGCTTGGGGCAGGCTGGGCAGGGAAGTAACCCAGGGAGCCAGATACCCATAGGAAGGAAAGGGGTATACTCTCTGACCTGAGTGGGAGGGATGGTGTATTGAGGAGATAAGTCTATGCTGGCACTTGGGGAAAGAGAGTGATGGGGGTCTGGTGTCCAGGTGATGGAGCAGGGTGATTGGGAGTGCTGGGTTATAAGAGAGGAGGGGACAGGTTAGATGGTGGGGCATGGTGTGGGTGTGGGTAGTCCCAGGAACAAAGGGACTGAGTAGGCCAGGCCCCCTGACACTCACTGCAGCAGTTGCAGTAGGCGCTCCCCATACTGAAGCCGGAAGTATTCAGCCAGGTCTTCCTCTTCCATGATGCCCAGACTCATGGTGGCAGTGACCTAAAGGCCCGGGCTCCGGGCACCTGACTTCACAGTGAAATAGTGGGTGGCAGAGCCACAGAGGACTCAAAGGTGCTGGGGGTTATGCTCTTGCTTGTCCCCTCCTCCTCCTTTAGGGTGGGTGTTTGAGAGATTCAGCAAAAGCCAGCTGGAAGCAGAGGGTAGGCAGCTGAGGACGATGTGTTGGGTTGATGATGGGAAATCTGGTTACCTAGCAACAGGTTGCCTGGTTCTGTGAACCACACCTGGAACCCAGGCTTTGCCCTCTGACCTCTGGTCCCACGAACCCCACTCTTGCTGGAGTTCTTCCCGCCCTTATCCTTCAGGAACTCTGGGAAGAAGACTCAGGGAGGCAGGGTCTGGGAGCTCATGGCTGAGAGGGAGGATCTGGCAGAGAAGTGTGGCCCTCCTCCTGGGACCTCCCTCCCTGGTGTGAGATGATGAAAGAGGGAACTGGACCTCTTATGTCAATGACCAAGAAGAAAGAAGAGGAAAGGAGGCAGTTAGTTGAGGAGAGGAGGGGGTGAGGTGAACAGAGAAGATGGGAAGAAGCCTGAAATCTAAACCCCGTGGCTGGCCACAGACACCTAGGGCTGCATGTGTGAGGATGGGCAACAGCCTGAGACCCATGAGGGGCAGCCATCGGGCACGTGGAGGACGGCCCAAGCAAGGCCCCTTGGGGTGCAAGAGTCTTGGGCGGGGCCGGTGCTAGTTTTTTTTTTTTTGCGGGGCGTCGGGGGCACGGAAGTGTCAAAACAGTGTCACAGAAATGTCCTGTTTAAACGGTTTACTTTACGATGGCTGCCTTTCGTGATCCCATCAGGGCACGTGCATAGACTCATTTGACCTGAGGTCCCACGTGTAAATTGGAGGCCGTACGTGAGAGGCGTCTGCCTTGGGGGCTCCTGCTCCGTGCTCCACCCTGACCGCGACCTCGATCCAGCTCGTCCCCTCCGCCCCGGCTCCCCTGGGTCGCTTTGCCTGGGTTCCCACACTCTTCGGGCCCGCCTCGCTCCCTAGACTGTCTGGGAACCCGAGTCCGGGAGGGATGGGATGCGGGGTCTCTGCCGGGGCGGTGTCCCTCGCCCAGCGAGTCCGCCCCCCCGCCACATTGCCGGTGGTCTGGCGCCCCCTGCCGGCCGCCGCCACCTCCCGCTCTAAATCCTGGCCGGGAGGAGGGGGAGACGTGGTGGGAATGCCGCCCACCTCCCTCCTGCCTGTCTCCACTCTCTGACCGTCCTCATCTCTACAGCCGGCCATCACAGGTGCCCTGCCCCTTCCATCCGGCCCGGTGGGCTCAGCAGAGGTAACAGGACCAACCCCACCCGACCCAGCGTGTACCCACCCATCCCCTCACTATCCCCAGCCCTTATTAAGCCCCTAAACCTGAGATGCTGTCCACCACAGGATCCCAGAAGAGACAGACCCAGCAGGATGACAGTAAGAACATTAATAATAATAATTTAATAATTTTATATATATATATATATATATATATATATATATATATATATATTTACATACACTTTTTTTTTGGTACTAGGGATTGAATCCGGGGGGCACTTACCCACTGAATCATATCCCCAGCCCTCCCCCCCCCCTTTTTTTGTATTTTATTTAGAGACAGGGCCTTGCCGAATTGCTTGTAAGTTGCAGAGACTGGCTTTGAACTCAAAAAAGCTCTCACTTCAGACTCCCGAGCCCCTGGGATTACAGGGGAGCGAGCGCCACTGCATCCAGACATTAATAACAATTCTAATCTAAATTCTGCAAAGGTGTGTTTCCTTGTTTATCCAGAGGCAGCCCTGCACAGTCTGTTCAGGGTTTCCTTCCCTTTCTCTTGAGTGAGTAGCTCAGTTTGGGTGGCTGTGTGATTCCAGCCCTTGAGGAAGAGGCCCTCTGCTTCTGAAATCACCTGTTCACTTCAGTATAAAAGGCATATGTTTGATTATGTTTGATTTTGGAATCAGGTGGGGCAGGGCCAGGTTGGTCCATCCAGAGCCCATCCGGGTGGCTGCTAAAACATCCTCCTTTTCCGCCCATATGTCCACTCATGTATATATGAAAATTCTTTTTATTGTTTCATCTGCTGCCTTGCTGGAGTCATGAAAATCTTGATGCCCTCACCTACTATCATCCATCTTTGGGGGTCTCACTGCCTTCTCAGGGCCTATGGGAGCAAGGAACCAGGCTGTTGGGTTCACATGAGTCTGTACTCTTCTCAGATTCCCTCTTTTACCTCCCTCCATGAGCCTTGCTTTCTTTTAAAATCACTCCCCCTGGCCTGCCCATTGCCCACACCCATTTCCTTTATCTATATTGATATTTGCCTCTGGTAAAATCTCCTATTGGATTTAGATTAATCATCTAATGGATTTAGGTTTCTGCAAACCAATAGGTATGTTTTATTTTCTGTCCTGTCCCATCCTCCCTCTGAGATAGTTGTCTATTTAAAAGGAGTGGGATGGGTTAGAATAACAGGAGAAAAAAGGCACAAATTTGTATCCTGGCATCCAGACCAGCATGTCGCTGGGTGCACAGTCCCCCAGCTCTCCTGGGAGGGTCTTTCAGGCAGTCATCGGGGTCTAAGTCCCTTCTGTCATTCAGCTTCACTGTAATCACCTGGGACCTCCAAGGGGAGAAAGAAAAAAAAAAGGGGGGGGGGGAGAGAAAATAAAGAATAGGCCCATCTGCTTAAACTCATCACCACTGCCATTCATTGACTTACAGTGGAAATGGGTCACATGGCCACTTATACTGCAAAGGGGCTAGAAATGAAGTGTGTCCAGGAAGAGGAAATTATTTTGATGAGCATCAAACCAGTTTGTGTTGTTATTCTTTTGAGAATTAAAAGGATCTCTGGAAGCATGCTGAAAGCAGAGCTTAATAAAGAACTTAATTGTAGACAAAGAAAGAAAAAAAGGGGCAGGCCACTTACAGTCTTACCTATGAAAATCTTTTTCTTTTTTAGAGAGAGAGAGAATTTTTTAATATTTATTTTTTAGTTTTCGGTGGACACAACATCTTTATTTTATTTGTATGTAGTGCTGAGGATCGAACCCAGTGCCTCGCGCATGCCAGGCAAGTGCGCTACCACTTAAGCCACATCCCCATCTCCTATGAAAATCTTAATGTTAACATTACTTGATTTAATTTAGTGTACATTATCTCCCATCTTCTGGAAGATTCTGTTCCACGCAGTGATCAGAGATCTAAACCCCTTCTATTCTGCAGCTCCACTATATTTGTTATGACCTCCAGGTTAAAAGAATAATTCACCAGGAATATGAATATAAAATTATTTGGTATTAGGAAATCTATTCATAAAATTAATTCTATCTGTATGTCTCAATTGTAATTATTGTGATAGACGCCAGTGTAGCATTGAAAAAATTCAACATCCATCCCTTTTTGTAAAAAAAAAGAAAAGAAAAAGAAAAAAAAAACTATTAGTATACAAAGGTATTTTATTAACATGATAAAAAAAATCTTAACCCAACAAATAACATTAACATTTACATTCAAGACATTCTTATTAAAGTTAGGGACATGACAGGCTTTCTGCTGTCACTACAATTACTTAACAGGGTTTAGATGCTCTAGTTAGTGCAAAAAAGACAATGAAATTAAGTTTTTCTTTCTTTACATGATGGCAGATGCTGTGATCATGTACTGTGAAAATCCAAGAGGATGACTGGTTAATTAAAAATGATTTGTATTATATGTGATGCTATACAATTTATAACAGGGATGAAGTTGATTTATATGCACGGACATGGAGAAGTATCAGTGATAAATTAAGTGACAAAAGCAAGATGCAGAACAGTACGTATAATGCCATTGAGTGCATGTGTGCGTGTGTGCTTGTGTGCGTGTGTGTGTGTTAAGCATTGGAAAAAGCTGTAGAATGATATTGCTAGATCTTTGAGGGCAAGAATGACATGGGGTTGGGAGAGGTTGTTATGAATGGTTCTCTGACTTTTTACTCTTTTATATTGTCTGATGTTTTTTACAATCACTATGTTCTGTAATTTTGAAAAAATAAAAAAAATGTGTCCACTTGTATTGGTAGCAACAGAAGAAAACTCTTAGAAATAAACTTAATAAGAAGAAATGTGCAGGGGCTGGGTTGTGGCTCAATGGTAGCGTGCTCGCCTAGCATGCATGAGGCACTGGGTTCGATTCTCAGCACCACCTAAAAGTAAAATAAAGATATTGTGTCCACCTAAAACTAAAAGAAAAATAAATATTAAAAAAGAAATATGTGGGGCTTTAAAAGAAAACGGGCAGAGCCAGACCCTAGGTTCAATCCCCAGTACCCCTTCCCCTCCAAAGAAAGAAAGAGAAGAAAAAAGAAATGTGAAAGAAGACTGGAATAGAGACATAAAATTTCTGAATGATGACTCAATATTGTAAAGATGTAAATTTCATCCAAATGAATTAAGGAATTTAATGTGATTGCAATCAAAATCCTAGACCAAAAAAAAAAAAATCCCCTCTCCAGCAACTGATAAAATATGTAAATGTTCATCTGGAGAATCAGTGTACATAAGGAAATATTTTTATTTTTTTTTTTCTTTTTTTTTTTTTTTCTTTTTTTTTTTGGTACTGGGGATTGAACCCAGGGGTGCTTAATCACTAAGCCACATCCCCAGCCCTTTTTATTTATTTATTTATTTATTTTTTTTTTTTTTTTAATTTTTTATTGTGGGTTGTTCAAAACATTACAAATTTCTTGACATATCATATTCCACACTTTGATTCTAGTGGGTTATGAACTCCCACCTTCACCCCATACACAGATTGCAGATTCACATCAGTTACACATCCATTGATTTACAAATTGCCATACTAGTGTCTGTTGTGCTCCGCTGCCTTTCCCATCATCCACCCTCCCCCCTCCCCACCTCTCCCCTCCCCTCCCCTCCTCTCTCTCTACCCCCTCCACTGTATAACCCTGAGGGTCTCCTTCCATTACCGTGCAATTT